ACTATTTATTAAATTTAGTCTTTTTAAGGCTCATCACTGAATCATAAGTTTTTCGCTCTATCAAATCTTGATTCTTGATACTGCTTTTTACTGATTTGTCATCTATGACACTACAAAAAATAATCATGCCTTAAATTTACCATGCCATTGATGTTAAAATTAAGAGATTATCAATCCACATCACTTGAGATTGATATTTCAGATGAGCAGGTTTATGATGTATGCACTTTGCTCACAAAACTTTTAAAGAGTAGAAACAGCAAAACCTGAATAAATGAAGTCCTTGGCATTGTAGCTAAAACCATGCCTCACGAGGGTTTCACTGTCACAAGCAAAAAGAGTATTAAGAAAATGAATTTGATGCTCAAATGAAAACATTACACGGAAAGAAAGAGGAACCTTATAGCTTCAACTCTATCTGCATGACCGCTTGGTTCTCCAAAGGCACTACCATAATGGAATCTTCCGCAGGAGACTCCAGCCTTACCCCCAAGAAGCTCTATCATCTTACCTACAGTCATTCGACTAATGATAACAAAAGAATGTCAGCACACACAAAGCATAGGTAACAAAAGTATACCATCTAAACAACTGTATGTCTAAAAATATTTGATCAAGAACCTCACAGTTTCTGTAAGTATAAAGATCAAAACTTTGAAAATCCTAATTTTAAGGAAAAGACATAAAAAGCTTGAAAAATATCAGACTAAAACAAATAATGGGTGATTTGTCTTGATCAATAACTTGGAGGAGTAATTTGTCCCTACATTTTTTTTAGGGGCGGATTTGTCCCTACCCTCCTATTGGAGGGGCAGACTTGGGGGTTTTGCCAATACTTAATTCGATGGGCTTATTTCATTTAGAGCTAAAATTCTTCGGCTTCAATGTAAGAAAAATCTAATTCTTGTATGATTTACCAACATAGGGGAAAAAATGTCGAACATCAGCATATTGCCTGGATATATATATATATATATATTTATATGGAGCACTGGTATAGTGGTATCAGTGGCCTTCTTTCAGGGTAGTTTTACCTTGACATTTATATTTGGCTATTTGCATCCTTTTAACACTA